CATGGCGCAAGAATAACAATATCAATTAACAATATGGCAAAGTTGGTTGTATAGCACCCATTCGTGTCGAACTTTGAATGGTATGATGGATATTATCTAAACTGATGACATCAGAGGGTAACAGGCTGATGGATGTCTCAGCTCAACGCTAATGGCGATCTACGTGGCTCTCATCGTACAAAGACAAAAGACTGTTTTTTTTCCCTTCCCTTGTCTCCCTTTTTTTAACCTGTTTGTTAATATAATTAGGTGTTTGTTCATTGTATTATGTTTCTCACCCTACACCGGAGACGGTAAGGGCCTATAAATAAAAAAAAATAAAAACTGAATAGGAAAATGTGATTTGATCATCATTCGTCTTTTCTTCGAGCTATAGATAAGTCGCATCGTATCGCACTACTTTTTTCTTTCTTTGTATATCTATTTTCTCTTCCTTCTTTTTCTTTTAAGCAACTCGCTGAGCGTGTAAAAGGAAAAATATTATCTTCATTATTTTTTAACAATATTGTTGAAATAGAGTCATTTTAAATGACTTCTTCTTCAAGTAATATTTTACAAAACTGTTTAAATGAGACTTCGGTGGTTTCGGCTCCAGTTTCATCAAATATGCTTATTGATTCACCAACTGTACCTATTCAAAATAGACTTTCGTCTAATATTTCATTTGATGGCTTCTAACAAGTAGAAAATAAAACGAAAAGGAAAATCAAACGTAGATTTGCGACATTTTCAATTAAGAAAAAACGTTCACTTGATCAGACAAATATTAATTCAAAACCTGTTGTACCTGCTCCTGTGATTTCTTCACCAACGCCAATTTCTACTGAACCTGTTATACAGAAGGTAGTTCAACATGTGAAAGATATTCAACAAGTTTCAAGTGGCCTACAAGCTCAAGATGTTCGACCTTTTTCGCATCCGCAACAGATTTCGATCACTACCGAATCTACTCGTTATGCACAAACACGTTATCCGTTTCCAGCCTTTATCATTAGATTCAGTACTAGTAAAGCCACATCGAACAAAATTAAAGAAGATTTAATTGATCATTGCATCCAAAATTACCAAATGGAAATCAACATATTAAATTGTCGTTTATCTAATCGAAGCTCCAGCAACGAATATGATTTTCTTATTTTCTTAAAAGATTCTTCTTCTTTTTCGTTTCTATTAAATCAAAACAATTGGCCTGATTCCTTTAGTAATGGGAATTATATATTTCCATATTCTCCAGCTATTCCACCTCAATTATCCCTGTCAATAAAAAATGTGGATCTTCGTTTAGATTTCAATGAATTTGGTCAAGAAATTAAAACACGTTATCCACGAATTAAAAATGTTATTAGATTAAAAACAAATTTAACAATGATATTAAATTAGTTAAACTTGAGTTTTCTTCTGTACGTGAAGAATTATTAACTAAAAGAAAAATTACTATTGGTTATATAGTCTATGATATCGACGAGTATTTAGCATCTGCAAATATTTTAATCTGTTGTAAATATATGGGTTTAGGCCACTTCATGAAACAATGTACCCAGGTCAAGAATACATGTCGCACGTGTGATGAAAGTGTTGATGATTTAAAATTACATATTTGCTCTAAAATCGAATAATGTATTCATTGTGGTCAAAATCATAAGTCTAATTCTGTTAAATGCCAAGTAGTAAAATCATTTAGATCTGAATTAACACATAAAGTATTATCTTCTAATAATTGTCCAATTTCTTCCGGCGCCAATAACATGAGCAATTCAAGTTTCAAATATTCCAGATCTGATTTTCCACCTATGCCTATGCCTCAATCTGCGCCAACTAATCCTATTAATAATACCATGTTATCTAAATTAGATGATTTAATTAGAAAAATTTCGGAAGTAAATAATCATCTTACAAATCTTGAATTAAAGTAATTAATATACATGTTACTATATCACACTTATCCACTAGTTTGTTTACAGACTTATAATCTCGCTCGTTGTGAAATAGTACAATTAGTGTGACCAATAGAAATTGAGCTTCGGTACTCTGTTTTGTTGATGAATGATTTATATTTTGTCCAAAATGTGGAGTGAAAAATTCTGCATCGATTGATATATGATTCGCATTTTTTAAAGAAAATCACTAGGTCAAAAAATGCGAATTATTGAAAATGTCTTTAAATTATGTCCACCACTTTATATTTATAATGATTTGCTTTTTTTTCAGAATGAAAAGTATAATCGTTAAAATTTGAAAGGTTAATAATTTTCTTCAAGCTATAGAAACAATCGATATTTGATCCTTTTCAACAGTTTGTTTTTTTCAAAATTCAAACCAATTATAGGAGAACAGTTAGCATTCAAAAGACCAATATGCTCAACGTTTAAAAAATTTTGATTAATACAATAAATAATAGATGAAGTTATAAAGAATCTTCTCGACGTTTTCGGTGTATAGGTGCGGTATACATGTTTATCAAAGGAAGGTCGAGAAAATTATACATTGACATCGTCAAGTTCGTCGCTTCATTTGGCTAATGCTTTACTCGACTTTGAAAATAAGATATTCATGAGTGGTTTTTAAAAAGTAGAAACATTTTAAGTAGAATTTTGTTTCAATGCAAAATTTGATGAAAGCTTGATTATCATGATGAATATTCTCATTATATGTGCATTGTGCTTAGAACAATATTCTTTTATTTTTCTTATCTGTAAGCTAAAAGAGTGCTAAAAGGGTGATGCACTATTTTATCATGGAAATGTTTTTAATGTAGAAGATTAAGAATATTTCCATGATTTATGCTAACTAAACTCAGAGGATGTATCATGTCCTTGATATTTGAAAATTTACTTATATTAAAATAAATATGAACTCAATTCACCGAAAATGATNCGTGACGTAACAAACCATGTTTCAACTTACCAGTCGAGCGCTGTGCTAATAGAATTCTATCGAGTGTAGCCAATGCCAAGAAGGTGACTACAAGCTGATTTCCGTAACTCGAGGCAAATTGACGAATTTTACATAAAACATCGCTATGTGACGTGATGGAAATTCCAAAACCTTTCTGCAATATGCGTGTTAGGAGCACAGAATTTAGATAGATCAGATCGACTAAAGCTTCCCAAAATAAATAGATAGAGCAAGCTCGGATACGTAATGAGCGTGATCTATAGACGATCAGATTACCAATACTGCCAATAAAACCAGTTATGTAAATGAGAAGTCCCAAATAAATATTCAATTGAGCTGGAGCGATCAAGAGATCACTGCTGACGTTACTCGAACTCATAGTATACTGAAATGTTAACTGCTTGCAAAATAAAGTATGTCACGAAAAAGAACAAAGTCATAAAAAGACATTCTACCTTTAACTGCTTGCAATGAATTGGTTCTAATTGGAAGAAACTTATCTTCAAAGTTGAGCGAGAGAAATTCATTCCGTAGGCAACTATAGTGACACAAATTAGCAACGACCGAATGGGTTGTCTTCAAAAAATGTGTATTAAAAGATACTCGAAAACATTTTGCAAACAAAATTTTCAACTTAAGAATGTTTTATTGTTGAAGCATCGAATAGTTAACATAGTTTACTTGTACGAGAATAATATGCGCGGAATTAAAAGAGTTACTACCGTTGTAAACAATTGTTTACATATACATTTTTTTATTTTTAGGAATTTTTAGGAGACTTTTTCTGTGGTAAATTATATGATTATCTTAGATCATTCTAATGATCACAATAGAAAAGCTATCTAGATTTTCTATGTCATAAGTTTTGTTTTTATCTCAAGGAATCGTAAAAATATATTGAAATCTAAGTATAGTTTGTAATCGATTTAATACATTGATAAGAAAAATTTTTATTTTCTTTATCAATGGTTTATTTGTCATGTCAAATGTTCGTAAAAATGTATTTAAGTCTACCAATAGTTAGTAAGCGAATACGTAAATTGAAATAGAGGTACTTACTTTTTAGCTCAAAGGGTTGTTTATTTTTTTTAAACGATTGCAAATGTTTGCTAAAGTAAGTATATAGTTCACGTGTTATTTTACTTCAATCTAATAATCTGATTTAAATTTTAAATATTTCTAGGATTCTCTAAAAAGCGTACCAAATTAGATACTTCAAAAAATTCTTAATTTCACGAAACGAATAGTTAACGTTATATGTTTCTTATTTCTAAATCGTCTATTGTGATCATTAGTGTATCTGAACTATAATTCATATAACTTACCAATTTGAATGAGCAAGTGGTTAGGTGAATATAGATAATAATTTTATTATATATATATATATCATGTAAAATTATTCCAGCAGGAGACATGTTAATATTTATTTGAGTAGTTATGTTAATGAAAGAAAACAGAAAGGCGCGCTTTATCAAATTGCTTCATTATTGGTAATTATAGAGAAAAATATGCTATTATGAAGTTGAGGTTTATTGTATTTTATCAAAAAATGAAGAAATATCATGAACATGACACTAATAAAGCTTATAAACAGAGAGAAGTTATATCAACTTTGTCGATTGAGATTTTAGAAATAGTAGTAGCTGGTTATATAATATGTATTTATCTTGATGTTTTTATTGTAGCGACTGGATGTGTTATTAGTTGAACGAGATAGGAACGTATAATTCTCAATTTTTAGTCTGATTTAATAAAAAAAGATGAAACGCGAAGTGTTCAAAGGAAAGCAGAATTATTTTAATGTTTAATTATAAGAAAGTTTTAAAATGATTTTATTAGCACTATCATATTTTAAATAATTATGAAATGTTCAATAAATAATAATGGTATCTTTTTTATGCTTTTATTAGCTTCTTTATTTCTAATTTTTGAGGATAGTTAGAAAAGGGTGTAGGTGTATGTGCAGATTCAGCGGATACCAACAACCACACCCACACCCCAAAGTTATCTTTGGTTTAATCAAAACTTAATTCTATTGCCTTCCTTCATTTAAACAAAAAATAATTATACACACATAAAAACCAACCAAACTGATGAATTCTTTGCTCCTTTTTCTTCGTTCTTGACAGAGAGAGAGACTCAAGATAACAAAAGATAAGCATACTCTGAAGAAGACGAAGTTGTTCACACAACGACACTCTAAAGCTTGTACCCACGGAAAGCAAACGAAAGTTGGAAAAAAATAATCATGAAACTCGTGACAGTTGAATTCTATTCTTTCGTTTTTTGTTGATAAATATATCTGCAATAGAACAAGGTATGCATCTGTTGTTGAGTATCAACAGAGAAAAGATAAAATACCCACATTTAATGCCATAAAACATATCCAGAAAAAGAGTAAGCTATAGACTATATAAATCTAAACGAGGCTAGTGTCTCAACAACACATTACTATTCATCATTTGTATCAAGCAACAGCACGTAATGAACATGAGTGGACAAAAATCCAAGTCAACCGCTCCAAAACCAACAGCTGGTGCTACAGTGAGTAGAACAACTACATCAGATGCCATTCGACCAAGACGTCGGATGACTCAAAATTATTTGGTCATTTGGGTCGATGGCAACATCAATGAAAACACCGAAGACTGCCGGAATACGCTGGCACAATTGCGCGTAGTGGTAAGTGAAGTGAATGTATGCAGAACACCCGAAGGATGTACCGAGTTCCTCAATAAGATGGATGAGGGGAAAGCTTTCGTCATTTCATCTGGTGCTTTAGGACAAAGCCTCGTAAATGACATTCATGGTATGCCAAAAGTGGATGCCATTTACATTTTTTGCGGCAACAAGGCACGCCATGAAGCATGGGCAAAAGATTGGCCAAAGATTCGAGGTGTATTCACCTCAGTCAAACCAATATGTGAATCACTCAAAAAGGTTGCTCATGAATGCGATCATGATTCAATTCCGATGAGCTTCGTTCCGAAGCGATGTGCATCAGATGCAGCATCGAACGAACAAAATCTTAACCAATTACCGCCAGCCTACATGTATTCGGTGATTTTCAAGGACATCGTATTAGAAATCAATGATGATGACACCAAATCTATGAATAATTTAGTGAAGTTTTGCGAAAAACAAAATATTCCTGAAACAGAAATAAATGAATTAAAGCGTAAATACCAGAAAAAATCACCGGTCTGGTGGTATACATGTGAGATGTTTCTCTATGGCATGCTTAATCGTGGGTTACGATCGCTCGATATGGAAGTGATGTCCAAGTTAGGCTTTTTTATTCGAAGTCTTCATCTGCAATTGGAACAATTGCATAAGGAACAGTCGGTGAATTTCCAGAAACCATTTACCGTTTATCGTGGTCAAGGACTCGGCAAAGAAGACTTTCAGAATCTACTGGATTCAAAAGGAGGTCTACTATCATTCAACAACTTTCTTTCGACTAGTATGGAACCAAAAGTGGGCATGGAATTTGTTGAACGTGCTCTGCAAAAAAATCAAGACATTGTTGGTGTTATTTTTATTATGAAAATTGATCAAAGTAAAATATCAACTTCGAATACTCCATTTGCTATGATTGATGAACACAGTGCTATTCGAGGAGAGAAAGAAATACTATTTACAATGCACACTGTTTTTCGTGTCGTTGAAATGAAACAGACGACTACGAATAGTCGTCTTTGGGAAATACAATTGACTATTACCGATGAGAATGATCCACAACTTTCTGCTCTTACCAATCGCATCAAAGAGGAGATCACCGGTAGTGGATGGTATCGAATGGGTAAATTGATGCTCCAAGTGGGTCATTTAGATCAAGCTGAAGAACTCTACAATGAATTACTCGAGAGTGCTTCCACTGATAGTGATAGAGCATTTATCTATCACCAGCTTGGATGGCTGAAAGACGATCAAGGTAAATATCCAGAAGCAGTTAAATTCTACGAAAAATCACTCGAAATCAAGCGGAAAACTCTTCCAGAAGATGATGCTTCATTGGCTGCTACTTATAGTGTCATTGGCACAGTGTATTATAACATGGGTGACTACTCGAAAGCACTTGAATTTCACGAAAAAGCATATAAAATCTATGAGAAAACTCTACCTCCGAATCATCCCAATTTGGCTACTTCCTACAATGAAATCGGTGTAGTATATAACAACATGGGTGAATACTCGAAAGCACTTGAATATTACGAAAGATCACTTAAAATAAGAGTAATATCTCTGCCTGAGAATCATCCCTCTTTGGCTGCTTCCTACAACAACATCGGTGCAGTGTATACAAACATGGGTGAATACTCGAAAGCACTAGAATTTCATAAAAAATCCCTCAAAATAAGAGAAATATCTCTGCCTGAGAATCATCCCGATTTGGCTCAATCCTATTGGAGTATAGGCGATATCTACAACAAAATGGCTGACTATTCAGAAGGACTTTCACTTCTAGAAAAGGCACTAGATATTTTTCGAAAGTCACTCCCTTCAACACACCCACGTATTCAGAACCTAATGAATAGTATAGCAGCAGTGAAAAAGAAATTGTAAATGTTTATTTTCTCTAGTACCCATGTCGAATAGAACGGTCCGTAAACGGCCCGTAAACGGCCCTAAACGACTAAAAACGGCGAAAAACGGTAGGCGTTACGATGGCCAGATGCGAAGTACCAGAAAACTATGTGATACGGCGAAAAACGGTGGCCTTTTAGGTGACGTTTTCCGAGTTGTCGGAAACGACTACCTTCTAAGACGAACGTTTTTTACCGTTTTGCATCTGTTTTATTTGGAGATAGAAATATGGGTAAAATACATACTTAGACACCAGGAAGAGCCCCCCATGGTCATGAAACGGGTTCACATAGTGGACCACGCCAGACTGGTAGGGCAATGTAAACAAGGTGTGACGTACAAATACGACGACAGTGACCTCGTGTACATGAAAAGGCCTTCCTAGTTCTACACTATTTCGCCGTTTCTAGTAACAATGAGTGGCTCTTCTTTTTTTCTGTTTTGTATTTTTTTGCGTTAAAAATAAATTTCAACTTTTATTATTCCGTCCGGAATAATATTTTAATTCGACTCAACTCAATCTCCCATTCTCATCTCGTCTCATTTAATTTAATTTTTAGTTTTTATTATTGATTTTATTTTTGATTTTATTGTAGTTTATTTTTAAATTAAATTAAATTTTTATTGCGTCGAATCGTTGCTATGAACAATCTAAAGGAAAAAAAACGAAATTATAACTATTTTATTTTTTGAATTTATTTAAAAAGAAAAAAAGAAATGGTAATTGGATTGTAAATAATGTAACAGCATTATAGCACCCTTAGAAATCAAAAGAAATTAATTTATTGTTTTATACCTACATTTTTTTATTTGTTATCGGGACTGGTTGGTTGTTATTGATAGATGAGGATAAATTCTAAAAAGAGAAAGAAATAGCTTAGTCACTGTTTTTAAAGAAGAATTGTTATGAGAAAGTAATAATAATAATAATAATAATAATTTCATTGTAATTGTAATGCATTGTTAACCCTTTGTATATTGTAATGTAACACCCCTGAAAATCAGAAACATTATTTTTAAATTAGATGCTTACTTATTTTCTACTCGAAGATTGAGTCGATTGAATTGAATGATTTGAGAAACGTAAAACAACGTATATTTATATGTTATTCCATGCAAGAAAAAGAAAAATAACAATAACAATTTCTTCTTGATAATTGATTATGTGATCAATTTGACGATTGATAGTATTATCGGTTTATTGATGACCGTCTTTTCATTAGTTGACTAATTGATAGTCAATTGTTTTATGTTAACGGTATCATTGTTATCCATTGCATCGTGATGCAAACAATATCTCGCCTTTTTTAAGAAATGAAGAATATTCACAATGCGCTCATGTTCAATATTTGATCCATCAATAATGATTAAATTAAATGAACATATTCAATCAGCAAATGTTTTTATGTCATCTAATGTTTTGACTACTATTTTGATATTGAGGGGTAAAGAAACAATAACATAAAAAATGAAATTTTTACCAATATTAATACAAAAGTATGATGTGATTTTATGAATGTATAAAACTTGAACAATTAAAAAACGATGTAAGTCATTCATTGCAAACAAGGTTTTTTATTTGCTGATGAAGAAATTCTTTTATGAATCATTTATTAAGTTAAATTTTTCTATATTGATCACATATGTGAATGCTCTTATTTTTTTCATCGTACGTTTGACATTTGAATTAAAAATTAAAAAGTTGTTTTTTATCAAAAACGTATATTTCACTATAAATTCATAAAAATTAATGATCCCCTGTAAAACTAACAAGGTAACGCGACGTTAGCGTCGCCAATCCTCTACTGAAAGGATTTAGTCATGTGGGACGTAGCTATCCAAAACTATCTAGCTGAGAGACTTCACATTTTATAGCTTCGAAATGATTTTCATGTAAAACACGATTGATAACCGAGCATAAATAGAAAACTAGCTTGGAAGTATCACCAAGAAAGCGGTATTTAATTAATATTTACTAATATTATATGGCGATACTGAAGTTGAGTGCATCCGATCTGCTACAGCTCAAGCTATGCTCCCAAAAACTTCCGATCAGCTTAATAACGGAGTGAAAAAAAGACCCATTCAGGAGAGCTATGATCGAAATACTCCATTTTAGTAAAGTTACAACTCAAATTGGTCTATCAACTAGATATTTAACATGAATCTGCACGAGTAGATCAGAGATTACATCAACGTGACTTTTTATCACTCGATTTCGGTTAGATTTGTCCTAATTTTTGCTCCACCTCATGTGGGTTCATTTTGTTTCGGTGCATTTCCCGTCTCGAATGCATATATTCATTCTCAGGTGCGCGTTCACAGATAGATAAATCTAAGATTTACATCTTTTGAATCAAATCCACTAGCAATCAGGAAAAACTAAACTTATTAAGATAATCAGGACAAATATGAATTTCAAATGTTTCACACGAGTTGAGCAATTATTTCACGACCAATCTTCGGAAAAAATTCAAAAGATGTCCTATTTTCGAAAATTGTTTCGACTTTTCTGATCAAGACAACGTGTAACTGTTCTATAAGTCTGCAAGGCCTGTAGTCCTATAATCACAACAGATTTTTAACTAGTGGGGGCGGCTAGTTTTGTCTCATATATGCGGTGAACGTGATCCTTTTAAACACTGCACTATTGATTGAAAGTTTCGCCTCATTCTATAATTATTAGATAAAAACGAAGAGACCCAGGTCGTTCAATCCCAGTATAGGAACCGATCAAAACCTATCCGATCCGACCAGGAAACCAACGAAATCCTATCGGATTTCACAAGGATTTCATACAGTTCCTATCGGATTCCGGGTCCAGGAATTGATGTTGGATCCTCAGGGTCGGATTCCAATAAATTCCTGAATACAGAATCCTACAGGATCCTAATCTAGTAAAGTTTTCAAATCCGACAATCCAATTACCGAGGAATTCCGACTGTATCTAATCGAGAAATAAATTTTCAAAAATTTAATTTTAAGATAAATGAAAAATCAAGAAGTTTAAATTTAACTAAATTTAAATTGAGTTATTTGAAATTCAAATTAGTTACATTTTGAAAACTAGTAGATAAACATATTTTTTTGTTTGATTGCTACTATTTAAAGTCTATTTTGAGTATCTTTCCTGTTTTCTAAAGTTAAAGATAGTCATTCTTCTACGAATTGTGCTATTAAATATATTTTTTATGAGTATTCCAGTATTCTGAAGAAGAAAGACGACGGATCCTGTATAATCTGTAGAGAAATTTTGACTATTATGAACAAATATTCACCTAAAATATTAGGTTCTCCTCTCATTTAGTAGTTACTACTGTTAAAGTCACGTATTTTCCTCATAGCAATGATGCGTATCCCCATGCAAACAATTTATTAAATTTAAAATTTGAATGATTTTTCAGTCTAAAATTTAGATTTAATTTTTTGTATGAGAAAAATTTAAATTAAATAAACTGTAAATTGACACGCCTAATAAATAAAGAAGAGTCATCACGTTGTATGATCTTTTATAGTCATTTGATATTTTCTTTTAAGCCATAATTAGTGTTCATTATACAGAACTTCACTTTGAAAAAAATTGCTGTGTCAAACCATGAGATATCCAAGACAAGGAAGCGTGCATTATAGGAGGTTTTACTGTAGCTACATCTGTAGCACTCATAGACCTATCATCTTGTTGTGACAGAAAAGAGCAATAAGAGGCGAATTGATATCCATAACAACCCATGAAGCAAGCGAATGATGGTGAAAAATTCATCAGTATCAAGTATTTTTCTATTAGCTTCAATTTTTCAGAAAAAAAGAGGAAAAAGAGGATAAAAAGAGGAAAAGGAGAATAAAAAGAGGAAAAGAGGAGGAGGAGTGGGATGCCAGCTAATAGTTAACAAAATATGATGTGATTTTATTAAATCTATTACAATAAACTACTCGTGTCAGGCATGTAATAAGAAGCCAAATCTAAGAAAAAATAATGCATAAATTACAAGAAAAGGTGATCGAAATGATTTTTCTCCGCTGTTGGACATAGACATTCGTCTCATTGTCTTTATATGAATGCTATGCGCTCGTATAGACACAGTGACATTTTGAACAGCGGGATTGTCACCAGTAATTAAAATCTCCTCTTCAAGAATATCTTCACGCATTCGCATGCTCGCGACTACAAATACACCGTTATATTTAAATGGTGACACTAACACGTTATGAATCCATTGAACTGCTATCTTGCCACCGCCACCATTATCAAAATACAGATCATCAGGACCATGCCCTCGGCAGAAGCGATTGTCTTTAGTAAGTTTTATTGTACCATTCTCTTTAAAAATGCCTCGCCACATGGTGCAACTGCCATCAAACATTGGATAGGGTCCAATCTCCAATGTCGTATTCCAACCAGCACCTATTTCACCTTCTGGATACGCTTGAAGCGTACCATGCCAAGTACCAGTCCAATTAGTCTGTACTGTTCCCGATGCACTCATAGGCCAACCTGAACATAGAAAAAAATCGTGTCTGTATGTTTCTAAATTTCAATAATAGAAATGTTGAAAATTTTGGAAACATATGATGAACAGTGGCTTAGGTACAGAAAATCAAATGGATAACGACTTTTACTACGATTTAAGAGAAAATATGTGAAAATAAGTTTTGCATCAGATGGTAATGTACAGTACATTTGTTTGTCATATGCCGTATTTGGCAGTCATAGAAGAGTCAGTTATATTCCTATCTATGCTCAGTTTGTAAATGATGCAATCGGACACACGAATGATGTTGTAACCATTGTGAAGGATGCGTCGTTATAGATAGTTTATTCTTCTGTGTTTCACGCTTGCATACCGCCAATTAGTCTATCGCTTGATGTGATGAGTCTACGATGTCTGTCTTCGGTTCTAAATATACATATCATTCTCTTCCTCTCTGTCCTTTCCTTCTTGACGTTACTCTTCTCTCTTGTAATCGACTATATAAACGTCTGCTTTGTATGTAAACGATGCGATTTGTGATATGAAGACGCTAAATAAAGCGTAGTTTCATCAGCGCACGCATCTCTTGTATCTAAAACCGTCACACCGTATAAATAACTTTACCAAGAATATCTGTGTACTTTTAATGTAAAATACTTCATGTGAAAATAGTCGGTTACTATACTCAGTTGTTAATCAGAAAGAGGTTTCTCTTCTGCCATTGTATACTTACCATCAATTTTCTTGCATTCGACAACAGCAATCAGAAACAGAAAGATGACAAGACATGATCTACATTCATCCATTGGCATGAGATAAAAAATAGATAAATTATTTTTACCAACAGGTAGATTTATACGATGAAGACTTTAAAATAGTATATTATAATTTCATTCAGTTTTCTTTTCCTCTCGGAGACCGAGAACGCGTTGATTTTTAATCTGAAGAAAAAAATACAATCAAAATTTCACTAAAAATGGGTGTGGATCTAGGTATCCTTCAGTGGAGAAAGACCCACACCCCACCGTTATGAAGGTGGTTGTTGACTACCATAAGTATCTACGTAGTTTTCACTGAAAAAAAACTGCGCAACTTATTTTCGACGCTGGGAAACCGAATTACACAGTTCTTCGAAAATACAAAGAACATAGTTAAAATAAATTTCCTGATGTAGAATGTACAGCTCTTCACACGTTATCAAATCAAATATTTTGTATTTTTACAAAACATCTTGAATGACAAGAAAACAGAATACAAAATGCCACCATTTATGGTAATTTTAATTTTTTTTGCAAAATATTAAATTATTTATATTTCTAAAATTATCAAAATAGAAGACTAAAATTCTTATGTGAATTAGAGCTACTCGTGTAGAATATATGTTGTGAAAATTACCTGATTTAAAAGAAATCAGAACCTAAGAAACAGATATCATATGAGGAGGATCAAAGTCTGTCATGAATCCCATACGGATAAAATCGTTTCTGAACGACGTGACTTCACAAAATTACAGTGCCTATATTTCAGAACTATGAATTTATTTCGAACTCAGCTTCCATGCATTCTTCGCATGTTTCCACGTACTCTAAAGACTCTAAAAGATAGCCTAGAAAATCTTTACTAAGAAAATGATATCGATTTTACTAGAAGCATTTCAATTTCAACTATTTGTGAATTGAAATGCTTATTCCGAAAACCAAATAACAAATTTCACACAGGAGTCTTAAAATGTGGGAAGGTATGAATGTTTATCTCTTATTCTCTCAGACCCGAAATAGAAGAGATGGAAAAAATATTCTCAGTAATGCATGTGTCCATATACTACCGGGAACGAATTTTGCTTGCACTAACTCTTGCTAGTAGAGCCTTTATTGTTTATTGAATGAATATATTCCATAAGCAAACTGATTCTTCTTCCTTTCTTATGTACTATGTGATGAGATAGAAAAAAATACTCTAGAGAGCATTGCAGAATATCAAAAATAGACTAAATAGAATACTGAGATACCCAATAGTATGTAGAACAGAAAACAGACATCGGGGTGATAAGAATAAAGATATTGGTGGAGAAAAGTGCAGAATAGCAATGATAAGGATAAAGGTACAGAATATTTCTAATAGACTGTACAGAATAACATAATGATAGCAGGATAACAAGAATATAGAATAGCAACGATGACGATGCAGAATATCTGTATTCATCGTATTAATGGATAGTACAACAATGAGAGGAGAATAAAACTAGTCATAAGAAACGCAAATGCCCTGTTTGAGTGTAATAAGTATAAATCAAAGTGACTGAGAAGAGTGCAACTACACAATGGTACACTCTCGTTAGCTGAATAAATGATAAAACGAAACTGATAGTATATCGTCCTATTTCGAGTGGATTTAGTAGATACACTGTAAAAATATCCGTATTCTACAAAACTCAATCAATCTCGGAAACTCGCTCGAAAATAAAAAACGTCTCAAACAATACTCTCTTGATTTCACAGCAATTGAAAGATATTCCTTTCCGACAATGCCTAATCGAATTCCGTAAAAGCAGCCTAGAAAACATTTTTCAAGGTACGTGAAACTCGCTTAAATTTTTCAGAAACAGAAAGGGTTTTGTAAAATACCAAAGCCACTCTAAAATTTTGATGGCGAGTTAAATATTATTGTATAGATTCAAAACACTATGCGATGTTTTGTCCCTGTTAAAGGATTCACAAGATGCCTTGATTACGATGAATATGTAATTGATTACAAGAATCAAAAATAAGTTATGTAATATGACTTTTATCTTCAGGGTGTGCGCGTGGGTGTATCGGGTGTGTGTTGGCCTTCATGAAAGGAGTAGCGATACCAATACCCACACCCACACACCCACCAATCAGATACCAAGCAAAATCTCAAATTTTTGTCTGTGGTGACTGATTCGCTCAGAATTGAAATTGTATTTCATATGACTCTTTCTTCAATGGAGGGGATAAGAGGTACTTTATCGAGAATCGATTCCAAGATGTTCTGAAGCGCTCGTGCTTCTTCATCGGTGTGCCACAATGTTCGATTTGACCACTCGTAATGCTCGCGAATTCGTTCACGAGCCTCATCAGTGCGTCCAAGCTTAACTAGGCATTCAATCAAGCTGGACATAGTATCGACGAGTTTTTCCGGATGCTTCCTCATAAGGGTGACTCGGTAAAGTTTGACTGTATTTTCGTACATTTCCAAAGCTTTGTCATAAGATTGTAAAGCATTGTAAATATTTCCCAAACTAGCGTACGTTCCAGCCATCTCTGGATGCAGAGGATTCAGAGATTTGAGTTTAATACGCAGCGATTCTTGAAAATGCATTAAGGCATCATCAAGTTTGTCTTGTGAATAGAGTATGGCTCCTATGATCGTGTGTTGAACGACCAATAATATATCGTCCGTTGGAAGCGACTTCTTTGCGATTTCCAAGCTTTTTTTATGCATACAAATAGCTTTGTCATTTTGATGTAGACCGTAGTAGATCGTAGCAAGATTATTGTAAGCTTCAGCAATACTGGGATGTATCGGCGGCAAGCACATTTGGCGAAGACTAAGGGCTTTCTTTTGATAAACTAATGATTCCTTGAGAAGACTTTTTGCTTTGAGAATAAGACCGATATGACTATGATAGACACTTAATTCCACATAATTTGGCTCGATGGCTGCCTGTTCAATAATCAGGGCTCTTCGAAAATATTTCAGTGCTAGATCTAACTGACCCCGATCCATGTATACTACAGCAATATTACTGTATGTCGGTGCGAATACAGGGTGATCCACTGGTAGGTTTTGACGATGGATTTTTAGTTCTAGCTGAAACTGTTCTAGCGCCTTATCGTAATCACCCAACTTTTCATAAGCCATGCCCAAAAGATTATGACACCTGACCCGATGGCCTGGTGTCTTTGCTGCAGTTAGAGCAGTAGCAAAAAATTGTTTTGCTCTGTGATAGTCGCCAATATCGAGCACAAACATGCCCAAAGTTGTTAAATCGTATCGCTCATGTAGTTCTATTGACATGTACTTTGCTAGAGCAGTCAACTGCGGATCATTGTCTTGAGTCAATGTCAAATGTATACAAACGCAATCATGATCAATATCTTCGATTCGGTCAATTCGGAACACAGTGCCCATTGAGAAAAGATATTCTCGTTCACCTGAACCAAATTGACTGTAAGCTGCGATACCAGCAAATGGAGCGCTCGAGTCAGTATGGTTCGAAGCAAGTGAAATTTCAAGAAGAACTGCTGTATCATCATTTGTTGATTTACCAGCAAAAACAAGTGCCAAATCTCGATCTGCACTTGTCGACAAAAACCGATTGATCGACAAGAGGCCACCAACATTGCTCCGGATTTTTTCGAAGTCATTCGATGGAATGAGCTGACCACGATAGAGTTTGGTCAATTTTCTTTCATTGCTGGCCATCATTGCTATATGCAACTGAGAAACTGTTCGATGCATATCACGAATGAAAACACGAAAGTGATACAAAGTGTCTATGTCTTGAACGTGCAGAGCTCGGTTCAAAATTCGATAGAGAAAAGAATCCAATGAGTACCACCAAATGGCTCTCTCCGGTCGGTAGTTCAATTCAAAATTTTGAATAATATCGAGGGCTGCTTTGTTGCTTGCATTTTCTTGACGGCAATACTCGATCATGTCACTCGTATCATTGTCCTTCATGTTAATAAGTATGCCTTTGAGAAGCTGAGCATACATGAAAGAAGCTTCCTGCATGTTTCTGTTGTTTTCGGTAGATGCCAATTGAACAGGCGCAACTTCGAAGCCAATCATATTATGCTCATCTCGTTTCGTATCCTGTTTGAGGTGGGAAACGATTGCTTGTATAGTGGAGAAAATGCCCTTGATTTTAAGATGATCTTTCATGCACCTTTCAATCGAAGGTGACACGCATGGCTCTGATGTTGAAAGAAGATAAATCGTTTTGATTTGTGGAAAATCATGCACTGCAGAGACAATGAAGTGATCTGAAGCATTCGCAATAAACAAGACTAAAGCATCAGTGTTATTGGTTATAAAATCAACGCAAGAGTTCTGTTCTCTGAATATTTCGACGACGCTGATAACTTGACGAAGAGTGTGTTTAACATTTTCATGTCGTTCGTCAAATTCTTTGCAGAGCCAGACAAGAACGAAATTCTCGACACTTAGATCACGACGGATAACAGTATTGCCTGTTTCAGACAATATGATACTACATGTTTGCTCAGCCATAATGAATAACCAAGTTGATGAGATAACACACAACGAATGCGCACAGTTTGCGACGATAAAGTCAGTAGCTTTCTCTAAACTTTATCTTACAAAAGAAGAAGAGTCCTATCAAATAACTTTTACTTTCCAAGTAGCAAAGGTGTGATAGGACGCATTGGTCGCTTTATGCTCATATCTGCATGTTTTCTGTTTTTTCTACTCGCCATAAGTCTGCATGTACTTTCAACGCCATACAGTGATGTGTAGAGGTGGCTCTTGGGGTTGTTTTTAAAAGCAATCCGTTCTCCATCTAAAAAGTTCAAATATTTGTCTATTACAATAATTCAAAAGTCCTGCATCGAATATCATATAAATAAAAGTTTTTATTGTTATTTAGATCGGGTGGTTGAGGATGTGGGTATGTATCATGGAAAAGAAAGCCACGAATAGTTTGAACCTTTCTCAATCGTTTCATCAGGTAGCTTTCGTTCGGCATTATCTCCAATGTAGGTGTAACACAGTTTCAGACAACTAAGAAATGTTTTTTGATAGTCAGGTTTGTAAATGAAGGACCATAAGCATGCGTATCTGCTCATTGCATAAGTTATAACTCTTGTTACCCACAGATCACGGTCAAACAGTATGGGCCGGTGTCGTCAGGAAGACGCCGGAAATTGTCGGAATAGAAAAGCAGTATTCTGACCAAATTTCTGTGTTTTCTGGCAGTATCAGGTCGGAAACCATTGAAAATAAAGCGGAAAATTTGCCGGCAGGAAGGTTGTTTCCACCTGCAGCAATTTTCCCGTGTTCTCCTGCGGGATACAGTGACTTTTCCCTGTCTTTTCTGCAGATTTTGCAGGATTTAATGACGAAAATGATTGACCTGGGAATGCTTTCTGATTTAAAATCATGCTTATTGTTCAAAATACAGCTTTCTCGTACAAGTGCTTAGTTTGTCAAACATAATTTGTTCGACGAATACACCGTGCCAAGAATCAATGTACGAGACAAAATAGATAAAGATATTTTCTACATACTCATTCTTCTAATAATCAGAAATCACATACGCTGTGCTTGGTTTTTGAAAGCCAGTCTTCATGAAATAGAGTCCTTTGCTTCACAACTAGCGAGTTGCTAATGTGAAAACACGCTAGTTGTTTCAGTGAGTGAGTTCATTTCTAAAACAAAAGATGAGAATCTATGCTTTTAGTAATATTCGATAAATTAAAGTAAAAGAAATCAGAATTTGATTCATCATAATCCAAGGGGGAAAAGCGGATCCTGGACCCCAATGGATCTTATGAATTCCAATAGATTCCGATGGATCTCAGTAAATCCCGATGGATCCAGATAAATTCCAATGGATCCGCTTTTCCCCCTTGATTTCACCTTTGTTATCTGCAAATAGATTATCGGATACGATTGTCGAACATTTCGAAGATGAATTTGATTTCTTATCATTGACCTTACAAGAATTCATAACAAAAATCTAGATGTAGAATATAGTGTGAAAGCAGAAGTTGTGTTATGCCTACACGATTAAGATTATAAAAAAAAAAGATTAACTGATAAGAAGTATACAATGTCGATCATATATGAAATATTGAATTATCCAAAGAAAATATCGCTGATCTTATAAGATTTACATTTTTCATCAATATATGCTAGATACTTGAACAGGCAATTATATATCGATAAGACTTGTTTATGATGATTTATTTAAAAATAAGAAATGTTAATATGATCAAATTTTTTAAAGTCTCTTTAATAGAAATCACGATTTCATTTCACTTGAGCTTGAAATTCTAAACGACTAATTTCATCAATAACAGCTTGTTTCGTTGTTTTAAAACAATCAATATCAACATGTACTTCATTTTCATCTAATAAACGCTGCTTTCACTTTCCAGCGTTTTCCCGTGCTTTCCGGCCGTTTCTCACCGTACCTCTACTACCTGAGATATCTTTCTAACATTACGTTCAATTTTTTAAACAGATAATTTACATGCCATTTCATTTACATTAAATACTTGGTTCGTAATTAAATTTATGCTAATGGATTGATCTTAAGAATAAGACGAAATGTATCATAAAAAGAAATAATATTTCAATTACTAAATTCCCGATTGAGCTCTTTAAGACGTTGTGCACCATCTTGCACATCGCTGACTAATCCTATGAATCGGCTAGTAATACTTTTAATTTTGTTTTCAATTTCTTTATTTCTACCGATGTTTTCATACTGATTTTTGTCGCCAGCAAGTTGTAGCCACATGTTGGACAACTTAAGAACTTCATCAAACTTTTCTTTTAAATGCTCAATGCTCACTTGAACCTTAACAAAATCTTTAGTTGATTAGGTTTTTTATTCACTATTCTTACGCTTATTTTATTTTTAGATGCTGTGTCAGACATAGTTCACGATGTAAATAAATGTTCGAAAAGTTAAAATGAAGGTTCGAAAAGTTAAAATGAAGAAACGAAAAGAAATTACAATTTGTCTAGAAAATTCTTTGACCTTTTTCGCTATAGCATATCCAGGGTATATGATGCTGTATAAGTTGTCATTCTTCCATTTTGATGAAAATTCAAAGATGTATGAATTTAAATCATATTGACATTGAGCAACATATTCGATGAATTTGTTAAATATGGAAACATACATTTCATTCGATATGATCACTGTAAGCTGAATGAATGTGTTGACTCATTATAATTTAATGGTCGAATAAAAGAAGATTCGCCAATTAATTTATAATTACCAAAACAACTATGTTCATAAGAATAATCATGAAATTGAAGTTGACGACGTAAAGGCGATTATAGTCACATGTTGATTTTTGACCCAAAGACGAGATATATGTAGGCTTCCAGAGAACGACTTCCCGGTTCAGTGGTACATATATTATCAAATTCTGTTGCCTACCGTTCATATCGATAGATGGTGCCACAGGCACTGTATATTGTATAGTAGATGACAGTGACTATGACGCCATCCATCGACATCAACAGTGTGCAACAGAATTTGATAGTATATGTACCACTGAACTGGGGAAGTCTTTCTCTATAAGCCTGCATATATCCCGTCGTTTTGTCACAACCTTATATTCGCCTTTGTCATCTGCTATGATACACTACTATGATGAGGTTTTACAAATTAATACTCGAAATAACCACAACCTAATCAAAAGAAAAATACGAAATGGATATCTGAAAATAAATATTTTATTTGCCTTTCCACAGGGAAATGCCAACAAAATATATCCCAACAAAATCATCTACACATATAGCTGATATTGGTGTGTGTGGGTGTGGGTGTATGTGGGTGCAAATAAAACAAGAGCCGCTACACCCACACCCTTTCAATTTCAGTCCAAACTTAGATAATTAGTAGGATATTCATACTGCTGATCACGAATATGACATTCATCTTACTTCAAGATGACTATGGAGGGGGATCATTGATGTCGCCTAACATCATAAGGAAACTTAATAATAATTAATTGACTTAGATCGCGCATACAGTACACTAATTCTTGAGGGTGTGGGTGCCTTATCTTCGTTCACACCCACACTCAACTGATGTACACGTCTTAGATCATTTAAATCATGTTCAACACCACTTGATACCCATGTACTACATACATCATATGCTGGGGTGTGGGTGTGGGTGTCAACTATGTTATGACATAGCACACAAGGCTACTCTGATCTACAACGCACACCCACACCCTTTTTAGCAACCGATTAGAATCGAATTTTAGTTAATAGTAAAATTATTAATTTGTATGCTAGATGCAAGAAATAATTAAATAAATACAGAGTTTAATTTCTCCGACGCGTTTCGTGTTATTATCTATTTAAATAATGAAATACAATGAACGGGAAAAGTACGGCACACCTGAAATTCGCTAGGGATAGTCGGTATTTCGGTGGTATTCTATCGTTCTTGCAGATGGAATTACACCCAAAAAATTTTTCACAAATTTTAACTGTTATCTTTAACAGTGCCATATTTTCCTACCATCCTCGTTTATTTTTGCTTCCTGTTATTCACTAGATATTAATTTTAACTATACCTATCTTATTTTATTTCTTGTATTCGTTTTAATCTAGAGCTCTGATGCGTGTTTCATTATCTTAATAAATAAACAACACGAAACGCGTCAGCGAAATTAAACTCTACATTAATTTTATTATTACTTAAATTTAGTGCACAAATTAATAATTTTACTTTCAATTGAAATTCGATTTTAATCAGTTGCTGAAAAGCAAGAGTTGAAGCTAGCAGATTGATTAATTGTATTTTCGTTAAGAGATAGATTGATTTGTTTTTCAATTGATTTAAGTACATCCCCAATCGACTTTAAAATTTCAAATTATTGTTGAGTGTCTCTTTTGACCCTTATATTAGTTTGATTTAAATTTATGAGTGCTGGTTTTTGTCAAATATTATTATTGCTTTTCATGTAGTTTTGGGATTCTAGAGATACCAGATGGGATCCTTAAGCAAGATCGAAACGTCGTATATACCGCTTTGAATCTATCAAATAATTGAGTGATTAACATACTCTCAATCTATTAATGTTCTTCTAACGACCGTCGGAATATGAGACATGAGGGGTATCAATTACAATCATTCGCGTCAGAGGCACGCTTCCTAAGCTCCAATGAATGACAAGCGGCAGTATTTGTGCTCTTTTTTTTATCAAAGAGAGAAACCATAATGAAATGTACATTATACTTTATTTGTTTTCAATTCTTAGACAAAATGAAAAGAGAGAATAGCAATAAGAATTCAAAAGTCAACTTGCAATATTATAGTTAGTGTTTATGTTTTTCTTTTCAGTCAATCGAATGCAATGAAAACACGGTATTCTGATGAAATGAAAATGCGCATAAGAAAAATAAACAATTGATTGATAAAAGAGCGAGAAACTTTCGATGCAGCAATATCATTTTGATGAAGTGGTTCGGCAAGTGAAAAACAACAGACTAGCATTGTTATCGAGAAGGAATTGGCACAGAAAGATGCACATATCATATTTGAAAAAAAATCGACAATTGATTTCATTAATATTTATTATTTTGTGAACAATCTTTAGAAAAGATCTTTTCCCGTGCACTGATAACGAAAGAGGGGAAAGAATCTGTGTATTTTCTTTGTACCAGGTAAATGTAGATTTACGTAATATTGGAGCGATTATAATTTGTTAGTTAACTAGAAATTTTCTTCATGATCGTAATATGTAAAAGACCAATGAAACAATAGCAAAACAACCCATAATAAAAAGCAATCGATGAAATTATTTTTTATTCACGTTATACAATATTGCCACTGAGAGAAAAGACGCTTTGCAGATCAGATTTCTAAGGTTTCCTTGTAGCCTTACAATGAAGATTATACCTCTTTTGTAAACAAATCCAGTAGTATGAAGATGAGAAAAAATTCCATTCATTTGATTATATTTCTCATAGAGTGCATAAGCGCATGCGAATATGAAGGATTTGATGGCGAAGTACATGACTATTCATGTGAAGACTATTGCAAGACCAAGCAAGCTCTCACGATCACCTAAGGTTATTGTATTACCAAATTAAAATGAAATAGTAATGATGTAACCAAATGATATGATCTTAAGAAAACAGATTCGTGTGAAACATATTCTTTTCTTATCCCGAAAGAGCACACCCATAACGTTCGCAAAACCATCTCGCCATTCTCCGTGCAATATTTTGTTTGAAGCCTACCCACCTGTTAGTAGTCTCACAAAATGAAACCTCCGTCCGCCTACCCTTATGAGACCAGAGAAAATTTTTAAGTGTACCTATTTTATCCTTGTCTCTCATTGCGGGCAAAACAAAGCGGCTGCAAAAGGCAGATTGTTTATTATGATTTGTTCTAAGATAATCAACAAGAATATATTTTTCTTGCTGTTCTTTCAACAGTACTTTCATACTAAATGAACTATACTTTTTACTCGCGCTATTCAATCCGAATTACGAAACAGATGTAGGAATATTTGAGGAGTCATGAGAATCATTCAACGTTATAATATAACTCTATTATTCAATTCATCGGAAGATAAATTAAATGATCAGGGGTTACACAGTCGCTCGACGAGGGGCACGGATGGGGCGTCAGGGATATAACATCCTCGAAGGATGAAAAGTGTTAGATTTAATACTTAAAAAACATGATGGTCCTTTTCATTTCACATAGAAATATTTTCCAAAAGTTACCATAAACACTCCTAATGTTAAGCTGATCAGTCTACCTCCATAGAATCTCATATATTTATACACATGTGTAGTGTAAGCCCATCATCGTAGTGCAATGTAGAGAAAGTGAGAAAAGACTGAAGTCAGCTTACTATTAATTGAATACAAAAGTGGGAACACATCAAAATATCTTGCTAGCTGAAATCACTCGCCAATGGTAGTTATCTAAAAATTTGCGCGGTCTTTCGCTAACCCCCAAATATTCTGTACCCACCCAAATCCGTGTAAATTGATCCTCGCACACCTCTCTGTGAGGAGCAACTCAACTAAATTCTTATTGATTCTGCTTTTCTCACGCGAATAATTAATATCGGTTAATGATAAACACAGTATAGCAGTTTTCACTCTTCATCACACGAGTCTATTCACAATATAGGTTCACCATCTTGATTCCTCGCCATTGCCATCTCAAGAACACTCTGTTACAGTTGATAGAAATTTGAATGAACAACCACTTACTCATGGGGAACCAGCGCCAAAAACGCCTTTTCAGTGAGAAAAAACTATGAATAGTTTATTCTTTCTATATTCCACTTTCGAAATATTTTCTTTTCTATCTAGGAATGAAGTTCATCACGAAGAACTAAAGGCTAATGCGAGCGAGAAAGTAGTAAGCGCACCTAACCACTTTCTCTCTTTAACTCCCACACCGGCTCCCGAAAAGCCTGGACGAAACCCAACACCAAATTTCACAGATAATACAAGAAAGTGTTCTAAACCATCGATCATTATTTTTGGTGCTATCATTGCTGTTTTTGTCGCGGCAACAATGGCAATCAGCATTTATTTACTTGTTCGCCAGATAACCGCTGCGTCAACAACAACAACAACGGGTAAGAGAACTTGTATGCATTTATTCGTATATGTGCACTCATATTCATACAATCGTGCTAGGAGAATAAGTAAAAATGGCTAATACGAGGTATATGCATGAACGCGCGTCAAACAAAAAGAAAGTAGTGATTTACGAATTTTCGTGATTGGGCTCGTTCGAATGTTTGTAATCTGATTTTCGATGGATTTAAATCAATTGGTAAATAATCTATCGAGAATAAAGGCTGATGCTCGCATCAGGCGAAATATGAGACAACACAACTGTGAATAGAGTTACAGTGATGGGACCAATTCGGTTTAAGAGAGTTTCAACCGATTTTTCTTTCCTGGCATTTTTTACGTGAATAAAGAAAGGATAACAAGAACATAAACAGATCTTTCTCATATTCATGATCAGTAAAACTACTTTGCCTATGTTTAGAACAGATTTCAATAATATTAATAAAGAAAATGAAATGACTTACTAGAAAATTGACGATGAGAATTTCGGAATCGGAATTTGAGGAGGGCGCCGCCTTTCAAATGCCCTCTAAATCCTCTCGGAACTTCCATAAAAAGCAAACCTCGTGTGATGTTTTGTTTTCTAAAGATCTCCCGACAATTATAGTTCATGAAACATGTTATTGCTTAAATCTTGAAAGAATTTTGACTGTACCAAACACTTTTCATCGCTGTCGAAATTTTGCCTTACCAAAAAATATATGTCAGTGATATTGTGTTTTATCACCCGTACAATATCTTCAAGCGAAGATCTAGTAACGCAAGTAACTTCGAATCAAATATGTAGCGTTTATTCGCATTTTTTTAAATAATTGCATATTTTTTACTTAATCTGTAAAAGTGGTTATAATTGCATTCAGGATGTAGATGCAACATATGACTTTAAGAGAGAGCCATCCCAGGTCGAACTTTCTTCGGAATCATTGACCTGGGATATGCTCTAATTATATTTTCACCTTTTTAAAGTCATTTTACGACATCTCACTCCGTGCCGTAAGTTTCGGTTCAGTTCGGTCTAGAGCAAATACAAATCGATCATATCACTCTAGAGTTATCAGTTTGTTTCTTCTTTGTCTTCTTCACCTCTGCTTTGATTTCTCCCATCTCACATTTTTTTATGCGCAGTAGACTGATCATTGTAGAAAAAAACACAGAAGAAAGAGAGATTTACCATTTTGACGTTTGAAAAGAAGGAATGGATAATTGAGTATTGATAGTTGTCTGATGGAAGTGATTGATGCATCGATGGGTAATCAAAGGTGGACAGACGTATGGGATAATTTTCGAACTCAAATGGTTGACATTTGACAGTATCATTGTTCTCATGCTCCGTCAAGATCTCGACGCTCGGATTGTGTCTATTAGTAGCCGTCTCATTTGAACTTATCATCACCACTATTTTTTTTTCTCATGAAAGTTTGAACATATTGATTAAACTGATAATTAATATGTTTGATACAATTGAGGAATGCTTCTGTGATTTCTCATCAATGATACGCTGCTATCCATTCAATTCCTTGCACATCAAGAACGACACCTAGAAAGCTAAAACCTAAATCAACAATGAGAAAAATAACTTAATTGCCGTAGTCTAGAGTTGCTATAGAGGAGCAAGAATTTAAGAATGGGTCATACTTTTTCAGATTTTCATTCGACATCGTGTCGAGTACAATAAAGATGTCCGTTCACAAAGGCAAACAAAAGATGCTTTCTACTGCATAATTATAGAGCTTTCAAAAACAATTTTTGGGTTCATTAACAGGTCAATGCAATTTAACGTTTGGTGCCCCAACGACCTATTCAACCAGTAATACTCCACGTTCGATAGTAGCAGCCGATGTCAACGCAGACGGCAGTGTGGACATTATTGTCGCAAATAATGGTGGAAACAACGTCGGCGTTTTCATCAACAGCGGCACTGGTGCGTTTTCTATTCAAATGACCTATTCAACTGGAGCCAGCTCTAATCCGAATTCTGTGACAACAGCCGACATCAATGCGGACGGCGAAATCGACATTATTGTTGCAAATAATAACGCAAACAATGTCGGTGTTCTCATCAACAACGGTAATGGTATATTTGCTGCTCAAGTGACCTATTCATCCGGGAATGGACCGAACTGTGTAGTAGTAGTCGATGTAAATGGAGATGGTAAAGTCGACATTATTGTTGCAAATTATAACGCAAACAATGTCGGTGTTCTCATCAACGCAGGCAATGGTACATTTATTGCTCAAGTAACCTATTCGACTGGAGGTGGCTCTAATCCGGCTTTTTTGGCAGCAGCCGATGTCAATGGAGACGGTAAAATTGATATTACTGTTGCAAATTATGGCGCAAGCAATGTCGGTGTTCTCATCAACAACGGTAATGGTACATTTGCTGCTCAGGTGACCTATTCAACAGGAGGTAGTTCTAATCCGAATTGTGTAGTAGCAGCCGACGTCAATAAGGACGGCAAAGTCGACATTATTGTCGCAAATAATGGTTTAAATAATGTCGGTGTTCTCCTCAATGTAGGCGGCATCGCATTTACTCCTCAAGCAACCTATTCAACTGGATCTGCCTCTGGACCGAATTCTATCGTAGTAATTGATCTGAATGGAGATGGCAAAGTCGACATTGCCGCCTCAAATAATGCTGCCGGTAGCTTTAGTGTTTTCGTGGGCACAGGCAGTGGCACATTTCTTGCTTCAACAACCTATTCGATTGGATCTTCGATAAGTTACGTGGCTGCAACCGACGTCAACGGTGATGGTAAAATCGATATTATTGCCGCACTCTCAAATGGAAACAGCATCGCTGTTCTCTTAAATTCCTGCAATTCATAGACAGACTAAACTTTATTTATGTTCTTAATAATAAAAAACGATTTCTTTGATTTCATGTAATTAGCATTTAACAGTGTTCAAGGATGTGTGATCCAATATATAGTATTCACCGCTACACCCACACACCCAAATCAAGTTCAAACAAATGATCCGACTGGAGAAAATTTTCCATGGGCGTGATAGAAGTTCTTTTTATTAACAATCAAATATTCCATTTTTTTCATTTTACATGTTCTTGCCTGACACTATGCTTTCAAATACAATAAACGAATACTTAAATGATTTCCTTTTTAATAAATATCTAGCTTAATCTTGAGGGTGTGGGTGTGTGTGTCTTCTCTTCATCCACACCCACACCCACCTCCATTGTAAGACAGTAATTGATATTTGATCAGCAGTTTGAGCTAGAGTGCATTGAGCAATTATATATTTAACTAATTTTTGTCTACAATAACATTTAAACGAATGAATAACACCTTGATCAAGTGGTTGGGACTTGGACGTGGTGTTTGGAGGAAAGAAGACAATTTTGATATTTGATAAATCATGACTAATTACGTGACATGGAGCATTGTCGATGAGAAGAAGAATTTTTCGATTGTTTTTTTTTCTTTTGATTGTTAATGGTGATGAGCCAGTCAGTAAATAAGTTACAGGTCTTCCAAGCAGTTCGATTTGACAGGGTGTGGGTGCGGGTGTCAGTGAAAATCCCTTCTTTCAATTGCACACCCACACCCATATTACTCCTTCAGTTCTACATGAAATCCAATTTTCCGTGAAGATATTCGAGATAAGTTTCATACTCTTGCATCATCTCGTGATCAAGATCGAAAGTTTCATGTGCTGCGTCGACAGCACATTTCGCATGTTCAACAGCGCATTCGTACCGGTTAAGTTCTTCACAAATGTTTGCAATCTTGTAGTGAAAGATTCTCACCAATGCAGAATTGTATAAAACGGATTTTTCCATGATCTGGAGTGTTTTCTCGTAATACCCTAACGCTGTGGAATGCTTACCCAAAATATGCAGCACCAAAGCAAGGTTTCCATAAGGAGTAGCTAGTAATGGGTAATTATGTGGCAGAAATCTCACCAAGATATTAACAGTTTCCTCGTAAAATGGAAGCGCCTTCAAATACTCTTTCATGTGCCAATATATCGAACCAATGTTATTATAATGAATAGCTAACAATGGATGGTTAGATAGAAGAAATTGCTGTTTGATTTCAAGTGCCTTCTCATAGTTTGTTAATGCCTTCGAATACTCGTGCATTAATTGATGCACCTTGCCAATCTTGTTGTAAGTATTAGCCAGATCTGTATTATTGGGTGGAAGCGCTTTTTGCTGGATTTCACGCGCTTGTTCATAATATGATAGTGCCTTCAAATACTCTCCCATTAATTGATGCACCATACCCATATTGTTGTTAATCTTAGCCAGAGGTAGATTATTGGATGTCAGCGCTTTCTGCTGGATTTCACGCGCTTGTTCATAATATGATAGTGCCTTCAAATACTCTCCCATTAATTGATGCACCATACCCATATTGTTGTAAGTAGTAGCCAGAGATGAATGATTAGATGAAAGAGATGTCTGCTGAATTTCAAGCGCCTTCTCATAGTATGAGAATGCCTTCGAATACTCCCCGGCGGATTCATGCACCGCAGCAATGTTGTTCTAAGTAGTAGCCAGAGATGGATGATTAGATGGAAGAGATGTCTGCTGAATTTCAAGCGCTTTCTCATAGAGTGATTTTGCTTGCGAATACTCTCCCATGGATTTATGCATCAGACCAATATTGTTGTAAGTATTAGCCAGAGATGGATGATTGGGTGGAAGAGACTTTTGCTGAATTTCACGAGCCATCTCGAATGATGATTGTGCCTTTGAATACTGTGCCATTGAAAAATGTACGGAAGCAATGTTATTATAAGTAGTAGCCAGAGATGGATGATTAGATGGAAGAGACTTTTGCTGAATTTCAAGCGCTTTCTCATGGTATGATAGTGAGGTAGGATAGTTTTACTTTCAGAAAATTGATTTGCCCAAGGTTAGTATTGAGAAAAGTAACCTGTTCCACATTATCGTTGGGTGCTGTTTTAAATAGGGCTTTATTAATGACTTCTGCTGTCTGCCACTCAGCCATCATAGTCGTCAGCGAACAAATCCGATATAAAGATGTTGATCCTTCAATATTCTTTCGAAGATATTCGGTAAGTTGTGTCAATTCTTGATCGTTGTCACTTGTCAACGTGAGATTGACCGTCCATAATCGATCTTTAATTGGTTCGGTGTCACCTATTCGGAAAATGGTATGCATGGAGAAGAGAATCTCTTTTTCGTCGTTGAAATAACTCTCGTTATCTAGGGAAGCGAATGGAGTCATGGAAATTGATGGATCGATATTTATTTGAAATAAAATCCCTACTTGATCAGGATTCCCTAGAGCACTTTCCGCGAATGCAATAGACACTGTAGAAAAAATACTGGTGGATAAGAAATTGTTGAATGATAGAAGACCACCTTCATTGTTCTTCACCTTTTCAAATTCTAGATACGACATACCTTGCCCTCGATAAACATGGAAAGGATTACAATTACTCGCTTCCTAATGCAGGTGTTCAATTTGTAGATGAATATCACGAAGGACAAAGCCCATCCTTACAATAATCTCGGTGTTTTGGGTTCTCAGTGCGTCATTAAGCAGCTGATAAATAAAATTTTCCTTGGGATACCACCAAATGACTTTTGATGGATCATATTGTTGTTCAAATTTTTGCAACTTCTTCAACTCGTTGTCGCTCTTTGCATAGTGAGTACGATAGTAGTCGGCGAATTCATGCTTGGCTGTATCATTATATTGCATATCCAGGAGATTCTTTTTAAGTAATTGTGTATACATAAAGGATTGATCCAGCTGATTTAAATCAGTAGTGGAAGTAGAAGATGGTGGAATAATGCTAATTGGTACCATAGTACTGTTTAGCTGACGAATATCCCGTCTGAAGGTATGACAGATGGATTCAATATCAGTGAAGATTCCCTGTACTTTTTTGTATTTGTTGAACAATCGCTTATCTTTCAACTTGTCATCACACAGTACGTAGATTGAGTAGAGTTGCGTCGACTCTTGGATGAGAGGGACAATTTTTTGACAAAGGTCATCCGAAACGATCATAAAAATCTGCTCGTCTCTGATACTAGTGACAAAATTGGCACACTGATCAATATCAGTAAATATTCTGATCGAATTGACCGTACATCCATGAGTAATGGATTTCTGAATGTCTTCCTCAGAGACACGGTTATTGTCATCCAGCCAAATCAGAGTGAGTTTCCCAATTACATCAGATCGTGAATGCGGCAATAAAATACTCCTGTCTATTGTATGTAAAGTGTCACTCGTGGAAGGATAGTGTCACTGCTTCATTGATCTGATTATTGTCGATGTAGACCATATTCGATACTGCAGTGTTTGAAATAGCCAATTGCGCAATCGGCAAGTTCGAATTCATCGGTTTCAATATCTATCTATCTGCAGAAGAGTTTCAATTATGTTAAATGTACTTTGCCAAACAAAATTTTAACTGTCAACGACAATAAGCCCTTTTAATTTCTTTGCATCACATAACTCTACGTCTTGCTTTATTCCAACTTCACTTTTCGGGAAACACGCATGAACCATTACTCGTGTACTCTGGTAGAAAAAAAGGAGTTGTACAGAACCTTGAAAGATTCTGTCTTTTACCAAGATCCAAAACCCCTTAAAAATGATTCTGTACAAGAAAATAAGGTGTTTTGAATGATTTGAGAACCCTTTTTTGTGTTGAACGATTTTTAGGGGTTTCTGGACTTGGGTAAACGACAGAGCCTTTAAAGGTTCTGCACAACTACTTTCTTTCTTTCAGAGTAGGGTCCAAAGGCAATGAACAGATGGACATGACAGGCATAAATGCTTGAGATGAGCCTAAAGCTAGATAGGCTTTTTAGCAGAAGGGTGTGGGTGTGGATATCTCCTGCAATTTTTCCAACACTGACACCTACGCCCACATCCCAGAAGTCTATTACCATGTGTACATTCTATGATTTACCCAGAGTGGAGTTTATAACTGCATAAAGAGGTCGATGATCAAATAAACAGCGCTATGCCACTACATATATCTTCCATTTTCAGCTTTTGAAAGTAGAATACTAACTGAAGTAAACTGTGCCCACTCAAAGAAAAATAGAAAGTAAAATAATACTCTATCTATATGTGGGTTGAGTAATTCTGTGTTTTAATATTGCCTTCTGCTCTCATTCTCATACACACAAAATTCAACTATTTAGAAAAAAAAATATGTTTTCCACTCTCACAATATTCTACCCCTAAATACAATTTACGACGAAGACTTAAGCATGAAGTGCAGTTTATTATCATGTCTATTATTCACCACGATCTTCTTATCAGTCACGACAACAAAGATGATGATGGCTAATGATCGTGAACTAAATGGTACTAATGTAATCTGTGAATGTGAATGTCTAAATTGGTCTGAACATAGTAAGCCATCAGAGTTAATGGCTAATTGTGATTCCTGCAATGTTGCTGCTTGTCGAAAAATGGGAGGTAGCTGTACAAGTGGTAGTATATTTAGAGTTAGTTGCACTTAAATTCTTCCACTTCCTTTTCTTGTATCTTGCAAAGCAATTCGTTTTTGAAATAAATAAAAAGATGAAATCATAAAAATGGCGTGTATCAAACTATTTATGCGAACTACTGATAAAAACTTTTTCTTACAAAATTTGGCCGACAAAGGAAAGATCTCCAAGTGTGCTCCTAAGATTTCAATAGAAATTATGTGGCTTGTTAAGTCAGGTTTACGTATTTTAGATATGAAATAATTAGGTGCTTAGGCTGCGCTGGTATAAAAAGTATACATGAAACAGTTTTGAAAACTTTGGCACTTATTCTTTGCTCTACAGGCTTTTTTTTCTTATGGATTTTTTCTCTTCAACCATAACGATCAAAGCCACGTCATACCCAAGGGGGTAAGTGCTGGCACCCAGCACCCTGGCACCTCAGCAGCTGCCCAGCACTTACTCAGCACCTGCTCAGCATTTGTGGGTGCTGTGAAGATTAAGAAATTAGAACATAAATATTAATTGAGAAGTTGCTTAGCAATAGGGTAACAGTATTCAGATTTGGTGTTTTTGCCATAGAAAAATACTGATTTGTGATAGAAAATACCATAGCACTTTTCCAATACCATTTCAACACTCTTTGGTCCTTAAATTATATTCAATGAGGTGCAAATGGTTCACAAAAGATCTTTTTATTTTCAATGATATCGAAGAAACTCTACTTCTCTGACAACCACTACATGAAAATATTAAAATTTCATAAAGCAAATCTCAAAAATCTATATGGGTAATACGTGTGGTTTCTACTACGTTGCGGAAGAAGAGAATTCTGTTCCAATGTTCTGGAAGAAAGTTTTTCATTTATCTTCACGGTCTAGTTAGACGTATCGTCATCGAAAATGGCCTAAGATAACAATTAAAACCTTTAGTGACCTATAAAATGTGGAGAATCGCATCATTTGTTAGAAACACTACACATGCAAAGGGTATCCCATAATGACTGATAATAAATTGCTAACGGTACTTTTCATAGTTTTTCTTGAACTAGAGAGCTGAAATTTTTATTACATATATATTAATACCGATTTTTTATTTCTGAAAGTTTCAGTTCTCGAGCTTAAACTACTGGTGAAAGATCGATTTTTGAACTC